TGTCTGTATCAAAGGCATAGATTTTTTAAATAATATTTTTAAGCAACCACATAAGACCTGGATATCTGAAAGATAATTTTTTAAAGTCTAAAAGAGGTCTAGATTTTCTAAAGAATATTTTTTCAAGGTCTTAGATAGTCATAGATGTTTTTAAGAATATATTTTTAAAGAATAGATTTTTAAAGAATATAGATAGATTATTTAAAAAATATTTTTAAGCAACCACACAAGGCCTGGATTTCTGAAGGATAATTTTTTAAAGTCTAAAAGAGATCTAGATTTTCTAAAGAATATTATTTCAAAGTCTTATATAGTCATAGATTTTTTAAGGATAGATTTAAATGGCTGAAAGAGGTCGGGTTTTTTTATAGAATATTTTCAAGGACCCATCGAAAGCCTGGATTTTCTAACTATTATGGTTTTAAGGTCTATAAAAGTCCTGGATAAAAACCTAGATTATTTAAAGGATATTTTTCAATGTCTAAAATAGCCGTAAAATTTTAGAGAATATTTTTTCAGTGACCAATTAAGGCGTAGATTTTTTAAATATTATTTTTTCAGGGGCCAGTTTAGGCGTAAATTTGTTAAAGAATATTTTTTCAAGGACCAGTTTAGGAATAGAATATTTTTTCAAGGCCTTAATGAGGCCTAGATTTTTTGGAGATTTTTTTTTTTTTTTTTGCTAGGCATGAAATAAAATGTGTACCCTTTCAAAAAGGCTTGAATTTTTTAAATAATTTTTTTTTTCACAAACTATCTCAAGCTTTATTATTTTGTATATTTAAAATTCCCTTCCTTCTTGAAAAGTATTTGTTTTTTATTATAAATGGTTTTCCACATTTTGTGACATAAAAAAAATTATTGCTGGCTTATGTTAAGGCCCATAAAAATTGTTTTGAATTTATATTGACTAGGTTTATGTGTCATTATCACAACGACGACAACAACAACAAAAACACTAATTACACTTCAAAAACATCCAACGACTTTTACGACAAAGCAAATTTCAATATCATGAACATAAAAAAAGTTTTTTTTTTTCTCTGCTTTCCGCTCTCCTCTTATTGGTCTATAAAAATTTTCAGCAGCCAACAATCTACTACTTAAATTCATAAAAGCATTGCCGCATTTTAGGCGTTCGTTTAGTTGTTGTTTTTATTGTTTTTGTAGATGCTATGTTTTTCTCCAACAATTACTGTTTGATTTTTGTGTGTGTGGTTGTGTGTAAGGATGCTAATTTAAATCTGTGAACATTGTCAGTGTAGGAATGAAGGAAAATGTAACCAAAAAATGTATGGCATTTTACGATACAGTAAGCTCCAGATATAGGAAATTTCAATAGAAAAAAAATGTTCGGTAATGTGGAATTGATTGCTGGAAATTGTAGTTTTTTAATTTTTTTTTCGAAAATTCATTTACTTGGAAATAACCGTTCTTTCGTTGTGGAGCATCCTGTCAATCTCATTATTCACAATTTCAGTATTGTCATCATCGTCATCATCAATGGCAATATTTAGCAGCACACACACACGCTACTACATTTTCATAGTCATATGTGTTATTCATACACTAGCATATACATATGTATGTAAATGGCATATGTACATACATATGTATGTACTCGTATGTGGAGGAACATATTTTAACATACCCATGTCTATTTGAGCATTTATTTGTAATTTGTGCCATTGGTTTCAGTAAAGAATTCCCCAGTGAATATATAGATATGCATGTATGTGTGTTTGTATTTACATATACATATGTAAATGGGTTTTTGCGTGTGAAAATAATTGTGTAATTTTTAGCTCGTTATAGGCTCAATCTTTTTTCCTTTAAACTATCATCATACCCTTTTGCAAATACTGGCATTCGAAATATGAGACATTTCACACAAGGCGTGGCTTTTTTAAAGAATATTTTTTCAAGGCCTACCACAAGGCGTGGATTTTTTAAGGAATATTTTTTTCAAGGCCTACCACAAGTCGTGGATTTTTTAAAGAATATTTTTTCAAGGCCTACCACAAGGCGTGGATTTTTTAAAGAATATTTTTTCAGGGCCTACCACAAGGCGTGGATATTTTAAAGAATATTTTTTCAAGGCCTACCACAAGGCGTGGATTTTTTAAAGAATATTTTTTCAAGGCCTACCACAAGGCGTGGATTTTTTAAAGAATATTTTTTCAAGTATCTTAGGAGCCTATCCGAGGCAAGGATTTTTTAAAAAAATATTTTTTCAAGGATCTTCAGAGTCTATCCAAGGCGTGGATTTTTAAAAAATAATTTTTTCAAGGATCTTCAGAATCTATCCAAGGCGTGGATTTTTTTAAAAATATTTTTTCAAGGATCTTTAAAGTCTATCCAAGGCGTGGATTTTTTAAAAAATATTTTTGTCAAGGCCTACCACAAGGCGTGGATTTTTAAAGAATATTCTTTCAAGCTCAAATAGAGGCGGGGATTTTCAGAATCGATCCGAGGCGTGGATTTTCAGAATTGATCCGAGGCGTGGATTTTCAGAATCTATCCAAGGCGTGGATTTAAAAAAATATTTTTTCAAGGATTTTCAGAATCTATCCAAGGCGTGGATTAAAAAAATATATATTTTTCAATGATTTTCAGAATCTATCCAAGGCGTGGATTTAAAAAAAAATATTTTTTCTAGGATCTTCAGATTCTAACACAGGCGTGGATTTCTTCAAGTATCTTCAGAGTCTATCCAAGGCGTGGATTTTTTAAAGAATATTTTTTCAAGGCCTACCACAAGGCGTGGATTTTTTAAAGAATATTTTTTCAAGGCCTACCACAAGGCGTGGATTTTTTAAAGAATATTTTTTCAAGGCCTACCACAAGGCGTGGATTTTTTAAAGAATATTTTTTCAAGGCCTACCACAAGGCGTGGATTTTTTAAAGAATATTTTTTCAAGGCCTACCACAAGCCGTGGATTTTTTAAAGAATATTTTTTCAAGGCCTACCACAAGCCGTGGATTTTTTAAAGAATATTTTTTCAAGGCCTATACAAGTCTTGGATTTTTTAAAGAATAATTGTTAAGGCCTATAAAATGTGTAGATTTTTTAAAGAAAATCTTTTCAAGGCCTACCACAAGGCGTGGATTTTTTAAAGAATATTTTTTCAAGGCCTACCACAAGCCGTGGATTTTTTAAAGAATATTTTTTCAAGGCCTACCACAAGGCGTGGATTTTTTAAAGAATATTTTTTCAAGGCCTACCACAAGGCGTGGATTTTTTAAAGAATATTTTTTCAAGGCCTACCACAAGGCGTGGATTTTTTAAAGAATATGTTTTCAAGCTCAAAAAGAGGCGTGGATTTTCAGAATCTATCCAAGGCGTGGATTTTCAGAATCTATCCAAGGCGTGGATTTTCAGAATCTATCCAAGGCGTGGATTTTCAGAATCTATCCAAGGCGTGGATTTTCAGAATCTATCCAAGGCGTGGATTTTCAGAATCTATCCAAGGCGTGGATTTTCAGAATCTATCCAAGGCGTTGATTTTTTAAAATTTTTTTCAAGTATCTTCAGAGTCTATCCAAGGCGTGGATTTAAAAAAAATAGTTCTCAAGGATCCAAGGCGTGGATTTTTTAATTTTTTTTCAATGATCTTTAGAGTCTATCCAAGGCGTGGATTTTTTTAAACTTTTTTTCCAGGATCTTCAGAGTCTATCCAAGGCGTGGATTTTTCAAAATTTTTTTCCAGGATCTTCAGAGTTTATCCAAGGCGTGGATTTTTTAAAAAATATTTTTTCAAGGATCTTCAGAGTCTATCCAAGGCGTGGATTTTAAAAATATATTTTTTTTCAAGGATCTTCAGAGTCTATCCAAGGAGTGGATTTTTTATTTTTTTTTTTTCAAGGATCTTCCGAGTCTATCCAAGGCATGGAATTTTTAAATTTTTTTTCCAGGATCTTCAGAGTCTATCCAAGGCATGGAATTTTTAATTTTTTTTCCAGGATCTTCAGAGTCTATCCAAGGCAAGAATTTTTATAAAAAATTTTTTTCAGTCTATCCAAGGCCAGAGTTTTTATAAAAAATATTTTTCAGTGTCTATCCAAGGCTTGATCAGTTGTGAGGAAATTTCCTCTGGAAATATCCCCTATATATTTTTCACCCATTTAGTTTTATTGACATATGCATACATGAATCTGTGTCCCAATACACACACACATATGTTTCTTATGTGTATGCATTAGTGTGTGTGCCTTTGTAAACGTTGGCATAATTGTGAATTTTATGTACCATTTGTATTTCTTTATGTCAATATGTTTGTTAGTCGTTTGCTGTTCTTCACCCCTCCCTGTCCTCGATGTGCCTCTCTCTCTTTATATTGTTGAAATATAAATACATCCTTTTTTGACACACTTCAACATTATAGACCTAAACGTCATTATCATCGGCAATTCAAATGGCATTGATGATCATTACGCCTCGAATATCCTTGCCAAAGGACCATTGGTGTGTTTTTGTTACTCTGCATCTATTGATTGTTGTGATGTTCGACAATGTATGCCAATTTTCAAATAAATGTATATATGTGAGTGTGTGTGTAAAGGACAATTGTGTATATATTCCAGTTTATATCTCAATTCTCTATTCATAACAATTTTTTTCTAGGGGTAGGGGAGGGAGATTGATAAATAAAATTAAAACAAATACCAGTATCCAAATGTTTTGGGTATTTGTTATTTCGTAGAGCAAAAAAAAGGCCACTCAAAGAGATTTGTAAATATTTACCCTCAAAAAATTCTAAATCGGTTTTTAGTGTTCTAATCATTATTTTGAAATGATGCCATTTGTTTTGTTTATTTATTTCTACACATAGTGTCTCAATTGTGGGTTTATTGGGGTTTATCCTTTTAAAGCCGTATAGCAAATTGGTATAGCATATGTTTAGGCGCATTCATTTCTGTTTATTATTTGTAGTGGCATTTCTCTTATATCCATCACGTCCCATTAAAATTTAATTAAAAATTCTATTTCTTTATTTTCAGAATTCTCTTAAGCCCTCGCCAGCCTCAACATTATCATCTAGTCAATCGCCACGAGATGAAATATACATTGATGATGAAGGTCTTGATGGTTCAGGACATGGTGGGGTAAGTGGTTACATTATGAAATAAATATTTAGAAACGTGGATATTTCACATTAATTTCTCGATGTCGTCCTTTCTATTTCGTACAATGGATAAATGGATTAAAATGTATATTAAACACATCCACACACATATGAATTTATATTAAGCGCATACATACACATCGCCTTGTGCATGTGTGCATATGTTTGTATATTTAAAATATTTTTTGCGTTGTGTTATTTATGGTGGGCCATCTACGTGATTGTGTCACCTGAAAAAACTCCTTTGAGCCCCTCCCCAAGTATTTTTAGGGGATTAGGGATTTGTATGGCCAGGATACGCACAACTCATACATCATGTGTCACATGTACAGTCAGTGCTGTACTTCTGTCACATGTTTAAAAAATGTGTTGTACAGTTGTTGTTTTTTTATTTTATTTATGTGGATTCCGCGGATATTAGGGCGAGGTGGGCCCTAATATTCCTCAGGCTCTAAGGACATAGAAAAATAATTCCTGCGACCAAAAAAAAAAAAATCCTCAGCCACACAGGATTGATTTTTTTCTATAGAAAAACTTATTCTATAGAAAATCTTATTCGCTGAAGACTTTTTTTTTGTGTTCAATAGAAAAAATCCTCAGTCGCTGAGGTCTGATTTTTTCTACATAAAAAATTCCTGAAATTCATTTTTTCTATAGAAAAAATACCTCAGAATACCCCAAAACTAAGGTTGTTTTTTTTTCTAAAGGAATAAATCCTCAGTCATTGACGACTTATTTTTTCTATAGAAAAAAATAACCTCAGAACTGAGGTTGGATTTTTTCTATAGAAAAGGCAGAAGGCAGATTTTTTCTATAAAAAAAATCTGGGGGAAACATTCTCTGACAGTCACTAATTATACCCTTCACCATACTGTGATACAGGGTATTATGTCTTTGTGTATAACCTCAGAACTGAGGTTGAGATTTTTTTCTGTAGAAAAAAATAACCTCAGAATTGAGGTTGAGATTTTTTTCTATAGAAAAAAATAACCTCAGAACTGAGGTTGAGATTTTTTTCTATAGAAAAAAATAACCTCAGAACTGAGGTTGAGATTTTTTTCTATAGAAAAAAATAACCTCAGAACTGAGGTTGAGATTTTTTTCTATAGAAAAAAATAACCTCAGAACTGAGGTTGAGATTTTTTTCTATAGAAAAAAATAACCTCAGAACTGAGGTTGAGATTTTTTTCTATAGAAAAAAATAACCTCAGAACTGAGGTTGAGATTTTTTTCTATAGAAAAAAATAACCTCAGAACTGAGGTTGAGATTTTTTTCTATAGAAAAAAATAACCTCAGAACTGAGGTTGAGATTTTTTCTATAGAAAAAAATAACCTCAGAATTGAGGTTGAGATTTTTTTCTATAGAAAAAAATAACCTGAAAACTGAGGTTGAGATTTTTTTCTATAGAAAATAATAACCTCAGAACTGAGGTTATTTTTGTCAGTACTCACTGTCTCAGGATTATTTTCTATGGGAAAAAATTTGGGGGAAACATTCTCAGACAGTCACTAATTATACCCTTCAACCCACTGTGGTACAGGGTATTAAGTCTTTGTGCATATGTTTGTAACAGGGAAAAGAAATCGAGATAGACCCATGGTTCCTTTCGAGAATATACATAGAATTACTTTCTGAGTCGATTTATGCATGTCCCTCTGTCCGTCCGTCTGTCCATGTTAAATTGTAAACAAAGTACAGGTCGCAGTTTTTATTCGAATTGAATTAAATTTGGCACAGCTCATTTATTTGGCCCAAGGACGAACCCTATTGAATTTGGGAAAAATCGGTTCAGATTTAGATATAGCTCCCATATATAGTTTCGTCCGATTTAAGGTAAATGAGGCACCAAAGTCCCTATATATCTTTCGATTTGCACGATATTTGGCCTAGAGTACCGAATTAGGTCCAGAATGATGTATGCTAAGTTTTGTGAAAATCGGTTCAGATTTCGATATAGCGGTTCCGATTTAGGGTAAATGGGGCACCAAAGTCCGTATATATCCTTCGATTTGAACGTAATTTGGCATGAGTACCGAATTAGGTCCAGAATTTGTATGCAAAGTTTCGTGAAAATCGGTTCAGATTTAGATATAGCTCCCATATATACTTTCGTCCGATTTTATGTAAATGGTGCACCAAAGTCCCTATATATCCTTCGATTTGCATGAAATTTGGCATAGACTACCGAATTAGGTCCAGAATGATGTATGCTAAGTTTCGTGATAATCGGTTCCGATTTAGATATAGCTTCCATATATATTTTCGTCCGATTTTATGTAAATGGTGCACCAAAGTCCCTATATATCTTTCGATTTGCACAAAATTTGGCACAGCGTACTTAATTGAATCCAGAATTATGTGTGCTAAGTTTCGTGAAAATCGATTCAGATTTAGATATAGCTTCCATATATATTTTCGTCCGATTTTATGTAAATGGTGCACCAAAGTTCTTATATATCTTCCGATTTGTACGAAATTCAGCACAGCGCACTTAATGGGTCTGGAATGATGTACGCTAAGTTTCGTGAAAATCGGTTCTGATTTAGATATAGCTCCCATATATATTTTCATCCGATTTAAGGTAAATGGGGCATCAAAGTCCGTATATATCCTTCGATTTGTACGAAATTTGCCACAGCGCACTTAATTGGGTCTAGAATGGTGAGTGCTAAGTTTCGTTAATATCGGTTCAGATTTAGATATAGTTCCCATATATATTCGTCGTCCGATTTTATGTAAATGGTGGACCAAAATCCCTATATATCTTTCGATTTGCACAAAATTTGGCACAGCGCACTAAATTGGGTCAAGAATGGTGTGTGCTAAGTTTCGTGAAAATCGATTCAGATTTAGATATAGCTTCCATATATATTTTCGTCCGTTTTTATGTAAATGGTGCACCAAAGTCCCTATATATCTTTCGATTTGCACAAAATTTGGCACAGCGCACTTAATTGGGTCTAGAATGGTGTGTGCTAAGTTTCGTGATAATCGGTTCAGATTTAGATATAGCTCCCAAATATATAGTTTCGTCCGATTTTATATAAATGGTGCACCAATGTCCTTATATACCTTTCGATTAGCACGAAATTTGCCACAGAGCAATTAATTGAGTCTGGAATGATGTGCGCTAAGTTTCAAAAAAAAATCGGTTCAAAGTTAGATATAGCTCCCATATATATTAATTTGCAAGTCATTGATTTTTTTTTTTTTTAATCTATGACATGGAAGATCATGGAAGTGCATGAAACTTTTTTTTAATCCAGGCATTGAAAGGCCTTGGTAGCCCTTGATTTTTTTTTTAAAAAAACCACGCCTTTAAAAAAAATTATTTTTTTTTAAGTTCTGAGTTACTTTTCCATAATGTGAACTAATTTGTTTCCATTGCGGAGAATTTTTTTCTAAAGGACTTAGAACTTACTTAGACTTCTCACTTCTCATTTAAAAATTTTCCCATTCCTACTACCCTAATATTCGAATCCCTGCAAGTGATTTATGCTTGAGCAACCTGCCCATTAAAAACAAACAACACACATATATACATCGGTCTATCCATATAACCCGATTTATGAAATCTCAGTAAAATGTCATGTGATATGAATAACAAAAATTATTTTTTGTCTTCTACTTTTTTAACGATAATCCAAAAAAATGTTTTTTTTTCTCTAGTTATGATTTAGGTTACTATGACTCTCAACGTCGCTTATGAAGGTAATCCATTTAACTGGAAAACTGAGATTTGATCCTAGATGACAGTTGTCATTGTCGTCGTTATTATTGCTACTGTTGTGTCACATGGTTTATATGTAACATTTAGATGTTGCGGATTATCTTCCCATATCAGATTAAAAATAAAAACCAACAACAACAATTTACAAGGAATGGAGATCGCACACAGAGTGGTGGTGTCCAGTTGTCAGCCATGATGGTGTTGGTTGTCATGGCACATAAAGCAGATGTTAGAAGCTAACAATTTAATTATTGCGGATTATTTTAGGCAATACTTTTTTGCTGTTGTTGTGTGTGGACAATTTTTTTTCAAATCCACGCCTTTGGTAAACCCTGATTTTTTTTTAATCCGCACCTTTGGTAATCCTCAATTTTTTTTACTCCATGCCTTTGGTAGTCCTTGAAAAAATATTTTTTAAATATTCAAGCTTTTTTTATTCCTTGAAACAATATTTTTTTAAACTATCCACGCCTTTGGTAGTTCTTGAAAAAAAAAAAATTGAAAAATAGGCCCCGTTTTCCGTTCCTCTCTTGTCTTTTTTTCAAACAAATCTTACCAACAAAAGTTCCCCCACGACAAACAACCAAGAGATTACACAAAAATTTGAAATTAATTACAAATTTTATAGATGTTGACATGGAAACTCCACATGCCAGCCAAGTAATCTTCTTCAAATACCGGTAAAAACTTATTTTTATGTCTTTGACTTATTACAGATACCTGCATCTTCTTCTTCGCCGGCACTCTATGGCTTCGCATCACATCCTTAGTAGATAGAAATAGGAGGTGGAGGGGGATGTGTAGACTTTGTGACAATGTGACATCAATGGAAGGAAGGAAGGACTTTCTTCTCTGTCGGTTTGTTTGAAGTTGAGTTGACAGGTCTCTTAGAAGATGCTGCCACTGGCTTATATGATTGTTTTTCTTCTTCTTCCTAGTTTTTTCATCCACACCAACTTTCTGTCTTAGATTTTTTCTTTTTGGATTTCTTTGAACTTTTTCGCCGCTCTTTGTCTCCAGCTCTCCCATGGGAGATTGTTCGGTGAGGTTGTAAAGAATTTAACCTTATTTGCCACTTGGTTAATTTGTTGCGTCCAATAAAGGAATGCAGGAGGAGAAGGGAAGAGGGAGGGGTGGGTCGAATGTAATCCAATGAGCAATATATTATCTTCTATCAAAGAAATAAAAACCAAAGCAAATGAAAAAAACTTTTCTCTGCAAAGAATTTTCCAAAACTGTCATCATTGA